CAAGCAGTCCTTTTATAGTCTGGAGAGGAGCCTAATTACCAGCAGCTGAGTGCAATTACCTCCTGTAACTGCGCAACTGCTGACATCAGGATCACACTCTCTTGTCTCCTCTCTACTGGTCCAAGGCTCAGGCGCCTCCGGCCAACCAGTCTCTCTGTGCCCTGCTCGGAGTCGGAACCCTGTCCAGGGTCCTCCACATCCTCCAGAGCCAACTCATAGGGCCCCCTCGCTGTTGGAGTCTGGTGGCAGCTCCAACGGCTCCTGCTGGGCCACAACATGTAGCTATCAGGCATCACATCGTACTACCTGGAGCTGGAGGGGGAATGATGGAATGGACACTTGGTCATTTCGCTTCCTGCTTTTGGCTAATAATTAAATTGGCAGCTACCGTAATGCATTAGGGTTGCAGCTAAGGTAAGAGAAACACAACTATTCATCACCTCTGCTGCAACACCAATGTCCTTGGGTTCTTCCCAACTTTTTCATCCTGAAAAAGCCATTCCAAAATTGACCGAACTACAATTTCCCCACATGATTTCAATCAAAACCTGTAACCTATAAAAAATAAAGACTCCAGCTTGATTCTTTTCTCTTCATCTCTTGCAACCTCCTTTACTCTGTGTGTAACATTTTATTTTTGTATACAGAAAATTGGGAGGACAGGCCTTGCTGGCGATGGGTGGAAGCAACTTTAGAAGTCATTTTTATCTGAAGAACACACTAAAATATTCTATGTAAATTACAAAGCAAAGGCTTGCCTTGTGGAAAAGCAAAATACGCAGACATATACTACAATCAGATATATATGCATGATGAACAAGTTATAACAAATACTGAATAACAAACTACTAAATATGTTTCTAACCTGCCGTCATTGATGACAATGGGATCAGATCCTGAGCAAATATCCTCCACAATATAAGAATTTTCTGAGCACGATACGTTGAGGGAAGTATAATTAGGTTTGCATACAGTCAGGAAATACGGTGTTTGATATCCAGTTGACAGCTGTATGATATCAGTGACGAGTGCGGTAGCACAAAGGCCAAAGATATGGACACCTAGAAATGGAACAAAAAAAAATGATTACACTTTGGTCAATGGAAAGCCAAATGGATCGCTAAACACCCAGTTGTAGGAAGACATGTAAATGACCCCACAGAAAAGGTGCCAGGCTTTGGACTTCCACTTCAGCAATAGACAACCCTGAATAGGATTCACATCTCACATGGCCTCTTCTGGGGCTCTCTGTATAAATGGGGCATAGTATCCTCCCTTCAGTGTGACTGCGGGGTCCTAGGTGTGACTGGTTGTAAGCTGAGGGCATATAGTGGTCCTATATCAGATTTTTAAAATATAAACAATGCTGCGCTTTAATGGTTAGATGGTCTAGATCAGGGGTAGTCAATCTTTTTATATCTACCGCCCACTTTTGTATCTCTGTTAGTAGTAAAAT